TTTTACAGAGTAAAACCTTCAGGTCTGAGAGTCTGGGTGACTTGCTCAAGGTCACACAGTGATTAACTGATAGGCCAAGGTTTGAAATTGGCCTTCCGAATTCCAGTGCTCACCTTTGTCATTTTCTTACACTGTCACCTGTAGAGAAGACTGTCATGATGTCCTGTCTGAACCCTGATGACTCTGTTAGGGGATAAGTATCATTGCTATCTTCTTTTAACAAAGGAAGAAGCAGATGTTTGGAGAGGGTAAGGGACTTGCTCAAGGTCATAAAGCAAGTAAGCAGCTAAATGAACATTAGGGAGAGTTTAATACATTATAATCTATTACATTAATCAAATACACTGTGGTTATATACACTGCAGTCTAGGATGCTGTAGTAAAGATACTTGGTAAAAAGCCATAGATGACTCCGAAGCTGTAGTCTGAGGACTGTGGCCTTAAAAGCACATTCTGGTAGTTTCATAATCTCTATCTTTTGCCTCTAACAGTAACATTTACTGAGTTCATTCTGGGTCAAAAACTATACTTAGCACCCTATAAGCCTGACTCTTTTTTCTTTTCTTTTCTTTTTTTAAAATTTTGAGACAAGAATCTCACTCTGTCACCCTGGAAAGAATGTTGTAGCATCATCACAGCAACCTCAAACTCTTTGGGCTCAAGCAATTCTCTTGCCTCATCCTCCCCAGTAGCTGGAACTATAGGCACATGCCTCAATGACCAGCTAGTTTTCTATTTTTAGTAGAGATGGGGGTCTCACTCTTGCTCAGGCTGGTCTCGAACTCCTGAGCTCAGGAGATCCACTGGCTTTGGTCTTCCAGAGTGCTAGGACTACAGGCATGAGCCACCGCGCCCAGCCAGCTTCATGTCTTTAAATCAACAAAATTCCCCTGGGCAGGTAGGTTCTATTATCATTCTCATTTTGAAGATAAAGCAAAAGGGACTCTAATAGGTTAAATGTCATGTGTCAACTAGTCAGGGGCATAGCAAAAATTTGACCCCATGAAGCCAACTCAAGAATGTGTAAGATTGGACCCCTGCACCCCATTTTCTCATTTGTTCCCTGCTCTTCACCCCCACAGGGACCCTGCTGGCCATGCAGTTTGTCCATGCTGTGGTAAACAGAATCATCCCGACCTCCAATGGCTTCATTGCCCCCACCAGAAATGGTTATCTCATCCGAGAGCGTTTCCAGTGCCCTTCATCAAGAACCTCACAGCAAGACCCTCTCAAAAACTTCAAGAAGGCAGTGTGGATAGTCAAATCCAGGCAGAGAGAAGAGCTGGCTGCAGCTGCAGGAGCATCCCAGGACTTGGGATCAGAAAGTACCCAGGGAAATGAACCCAAATTAAATAAGCGCTCACAAGTCTGCCTGATAGTGTAGAAACCCCCTGGGGGGCATGGGGCTCCAATGAGTTAGTCTCACTTAATCTGGGTGATGCAAAGGAATGTATCTGCTGGTGTATACTTGGACCTAAGGCCTCAGATTATGTGACCCAGACATCATGTCTTCCCATCTTTCCATTCTTCTTTCCTCCTTATTGACTGCATTCTCAGAACTTCCAGCCCCAGGCTAACAACAGGGTGGCCAGTATGTTGTTGTCTCCAAGTTCAATAGAAAAGAGGGCTTCCCTTGCCCAGCAGTTTGAACCAAAGTTCTGGCCTCACTCTATTGGCCCCAATTGGCTCATATGCTGAACCAATTGCTCCGGGAGAATGCAGTGCCCTGATTGGCTGAATGGACCCAAAGTCCACTACCAGGGTTGAGGTTGGTGCTGACACCACTCAACCATGTGAACTGAGAATGGAAGAGAGTATTCTTAGGAGGCAAACTAGGGAGCTGGTACCAGGTAAAGGGGGTTATGAATGAGTGTGAGACAGACCAAACCACCGATGTGAATCAGTCTATGGAGTAACTGCTGCTGTCATGTGATCATCAACACAAACATTAGGGAGGGCAGGGGTTTCTGTGTCCATTTTACAGATAAGGAAACTGAGCCTTACAAAAGTAGCTGTGATTGGCTCCAGGTCACAAGCCCAAGTTGTAAGAGCTCCAAGAGCTAGCAGCCTTCTGCCTCAGTCCTCACTGAAATTCCTAATTCCAAACTTAGTCTCAGAAGCACAGCTATCTATTCCACAGGTGGCATACTCAGATACTCTCAGAGGCTAGTAAGTAATCTAGATGATTTCCATTCAGGTGAGCAGCAGGAAGGGGTGGAGACTCTGGGCACATGGAAGGCACAGGTTGTATTTAGCATGGGCACAGACGCCCTGACAGTAGCCCAGAATCACCATGGCAAAGCAAGGCCACTGTTGCCTGATCTTCCTGTTGTAATCAGCAAAGCCAGAAATCCAGACATTGATGTAAAAATATTCTCATTTTTTAAAGGCAATTGGTTCAAATTTATATCTGGCATGGTTTGGCCTGTGAGTCTTTGGTTCAGAAGGTGACTTCAGATTCAAGATGGCATTAAAATGATAAACGTATTACAGTCATTCCATTCCTCTTTCCTGACTTCCACACTTTCAGGATAAAGATACCTTTTATTGAGTCAGAGTCTCACTCTGTTGCCCTGGGTAGAGTGCTGTGATATTATAGCTCACAGCAACCTCAAACTCTTGGGTTTGAGCAATCAATCCTCTTGACTCAGCCTCCCAGGTAGCTGAGACTATCGGTGCCTACCACAACACCCAGCTAGTTTTTCGGTTTTTAGTAGAGAGAGTTCTCACTCTTGCTCAGGCTGGACTCAAACTCCTGAGCTCAAGAAATCCACCCCTCTCAGCTGCCCAAAGCACTAGGATTACAGGCATGCGCCACAGTGCCTAACCTAAGGTACTTTTTTTTGAAACAGAGCCTCAAGCTGTCGCCCTGGGTAGAGTGCCGCTGGTCACAGCTCACAGCAACCTCCAGCTCTTGGGCTTAAGCAATTCTCTTGCCTCAGCCTCCTAAGTAGCTGGGACTACAAGTGTCCGCCACAACGCCCAGCTATTTTTTGGTTGTAGTTGTCATTGTTGTTTGGCAGGCCTGGGCTGGATTCGAACCTGCCAGCTCTGGTGTATGTGGCTGGCTCCTTGGCTGCTTGAGCTACAGGCACTGAGCCTAGATACTTTTTTTTAATCTCTGGAGGCTCTTGGAAGTAGACAGAGCTGCTGACCTATCTCTGGTTGGCTTTTGCACCATCTGCCTTGTGCAAGTTCAACAGTCAAACTGTTTTCAATCCTTTTCAATGGATCTTTCTTCTTTGCCCCACAGCTTTCTAAAAAATCTCCGCTTGCTTCTGGGTCTTTTGCTCTAATGACAGGAGAGTCCAAACCTTCAAGGTGCTATTCCTTCTCCTCTTCATTGAATTTCAGATAGAGTTTCAGAAAAACACCCTTAGAAACAAAGGCTTTACTGACTAGCTCATTCATCTGTCTACCAAACTGGGGTTCCAAGGCAGGCTTTGGCAATACTGCAAATGTGAACGTTAAATTCCATGAAAGCTTTAAACTGGAGGAGTTTCTTTTTTTTTTTTTTTTTGAGACAGAGCCTCAAGCTATCCCCCTGGGTAGAGTGCTATGGCATCATAGCTTATAGCAACCTCCAACTCCTGGGCTCAAGCGAGTCTCCTGCCTCAGCCTCCCAAGTAGCTGGGACCACAGGCGCCCGCCACAATGCCTGGCTATTTTTTGGTTGCAGCCGTCATTGTTGTTTGGTGGGCCCGGGCTAGATTCAAACCCGCCACCTTAGGTGTATGTGGCTGGCGCCTTAGCCACTTGAGCCACAGGCGCCAAGCCTAAATTTTAAAGTGCACGCTCAGATATATTGGGAAGCAGGTTTTATGGTGTGGGAGATGACTAATTTAGGATTCTCCTGCTATCTCCATTTAAAAGTCCACTTGGGGGCAGCGCCTGTGGCTCAGTGAGTGGGCCAGCCCCATATACCGAGGGTGGCAGGTTCCAACCCAGCCCTGACCAAACTGCAACCAAAATACAACCAGGCGTTGTGGCAGGTGCCTGTGGTCCCAGCTGCTTGGGAGGCTGAGACAAGAGAACTGCCTAAGCCTAAGAGCTGGAGGTTGCTGTGAGATGTGACACAATGGCACTCTACCAAGGATGACAGAATGAGACTCTGTCTCTAAAAAAAAAGTCCACTTGGATTGTGAGGAGAGCCCTTGGAAAAAATACCTACTTGGCTGGGCACAGTGGCTCACTCCTATAATCCCAATACTCTGGGAGGCTGATGGGGAAGAATTGCTTGAGGCCAGGAGTTCAAGACCAGCCTGGACAACATGGAGAGATCCTTTCATCATTATAAAAAGTTAAAATTAGCCAGGTGTGGTGGCACATGCCTTCAATCCCAGTTATTTGGGAGGCTGAGGTAGGAGGATAGTTTGAGCCCAGAAGTTCGAGTTACAATTGAGCTATGATGGGCTCGGCGCCCATAGCACAGTGGTTACGGTGCCAGCCACATACATGGAGACTGATGGATTCGAACCCAGCCTGGGCCAGATAAACAACAATGACAACTGCAACGAAAAATAGCCGGGCATTGTGGTGGGCACCTGTAGTCCCAACTACTTGGGAGGCTGAGGCAAGAGAATCGCTTGAGCCCAAGAGTTAGAGGTTGCTGTGAGCTGTGACACTAAGGCACTCTACTGAGAGTGACATAGTGCAACTCTGTCTCAAAAAAACAAAACAAAACAAAACAAAAAACTCCACAATTGAGCTATGATGGTGACACTGTACTCTAGCCTCAGTGACATAGCAAGACCCTGTCTCTAAAAAAAGCTACTTTTTGCCACCACTTCGCAGTGAATCAGAGGTTTACCCAAAGCAGAAATAAAGTGGATGCTGGGAAGATTTCATCTACAATTTCTGGTTTAAAATTTCTGTATCCATCTAACAGCCTCGGTGAAAATCAATTGCTTGGAATGTAAATCCTAATTTGAACATTAGAAAGAAATTTTTACCAATAAAATCCTACTCCTCCTACTCCAAATTATTTCTCATACATGTATTGGGGGAGTTTGCAGCGAGTTTTCATTGATAAAGAGTTTGGTTGCTATGAATGTTTGATAAGCACTCTGTGCTTTAAGGAAGATTCAACTGCCTAAAGTCTCGTAGTCACAGCACAGCCAGGATGAACATGGTCATTTCAATCACCACCTCACACTCTTGTAGCTAAACATAGCCATATAATGTAGCATCCAAACTAGAACAGCTTTTGAAGGGGAAGGGGCACTATTATATAACAATTACTACTGGACAGCAGAAATACACTGAACTGTCCCAAGACAATTGAAACATATAGCCCATCTAATTGCAAGCAGGAATGGATTTATGTTAAATCCTTGAGACTTTTGCTGGGCTCAAGGTGGCTTGAACATGTAATCTCAGTGACTTGGGAGACCAAGGAGAAAGGATTGTTTGAGATCAGGAGTTTGAGACCAGCCTGGGCAATATAGTGAGATCCTGTCACTAAGAAAAATAATTCTAGAGACTTTGTATTTATCTCCTCATCTCCAACTTTTCCTTTAGGAAAATGTTCAAACATACAGCAAAGTTGCAATAAGAGGACAATGAATGGGCTCAGTGCCTGTGGCTCAAGTGGCTAAGGCACCACATACACCAGGTTCAAATCCAGCCCGGGCCTGCCAAACAATAATAAGAACTGCAACCAAAAAATAGCTGGGTGTTGTGGCAGTCACCTGTGGTCCTAGCTACTTGGGAGGCTGAGGCAAGAGAATCACGTAAGCCCAAGAGCTGGAGGTTGCTGTGAGCTGTGATAACACAGCACTCTACCCAAGGGCAATAGCTTGAGACTTTGTCTCAAAAACAAACACACAAACAAACAAAAGAGGACAATGAATGAACATTTACTTTTTTTTTTTTTTAAGAGTCAGAGTCTCAC